CTTAGTCGAGGTACTACCTCCACCCATACACCTGAGGATGCGACTCCGTGGGAGGCTAATTGGAGTGATTCGGTTTCTATGGACGACGACGACGACGATGATGATGATGATGATGTGGTTGTTGATGAGGTTGGGCATGTCGCACCTGAATCTGATGAGGTTGGGACATCTTCTACTGCTTCTTCGCACTTTCCACAGCGTGGGCTAGATGGATGCTACGTTGCGAGACGTAGTAGTGAGGAAGACGGTGATGGTAATAATAATAATAATAATAATAATAATAATAATAATAATAATAATAATAAGAAGAAGAAGAAGAAGAAGAAGAAGAAGAAGAAGAAGAAGAAGAAGAAGAAGAAGAAGAAAAGAGCAAGGGGGAATTGTCGTGGCATCTGACATCGGAGTCTCAGATGTGTTCAGGTGGACCTGTGATTCCCGATGTGATCCCTAGTTTTAGAGGTCACATAGCCTTTGCATTGTGGACTTCCCCTGCGTAGGATCATGGGTTGTTGGATTGTTGCCATAGATCTGGTAGTGTGGAGTCTTTGAGGATATATGAGTGGAATTCATAGGGTTCTTAGGAGGTGGTTGAGGGCACAGGATTGTCCCACTTGGCAGGGTGCATAATGCAGCATTTAAATGCAGCTTTGATAACGGCTTTTGTGGAGGGATGGCAGCCGGACACGAACACCTTCCACATGCCATTTGGAGAGATGTCGATTCTTCTCCACGACGTGCATCACATCTTTGTATTCCACTTGAGGGGGATCTGATGAGAGATGACCCGCATTCAGATGTTCTTAAGTTAGACATGCATGATCTAGTTCGGGTCCCGGTGGATGGTCATGTTTGTAGTAAGTGGAAGTCGTAGTGGTTCCTTAATGGTAGTATACATGCAGAGGGATTGTTGGTGCATGGACGAGAAATGAAGATTAGGGACCTGGAGGTGCAGTGTTACTTGTTTGTGTTGTTGGGATCCACACTTTTTGTGGATATGAGTCGCGATCGCCTCCGTCCTGCGATCAATGTATTTCTAATTGACCAGCGACGAGTGGGGAGTAAGAGTATTTGTGATTTTTTGACTCTGCTTCAGTCTTGGATATATGATTACTTTTCACTCTTCCGTCCGAGCCAGATTCCCCAGGCTCCAGATGCTCCTCGTGCTTCCTCGTGGGTGTGTCACCGCTTTGCAGGTGGTGATGATGCTAGACAGCGCTTGGTACGATATCGAGAGATGTTGGATGGGATGTCAAGGGAGGATGTGTCTTGGAGTGTGGCATTTCTAGATTGTTATCCTTGGACTATTAGTTTGTTATCCTTGTACTTTATTTTTACTTGGAATTGCTAGTTTATCATTGCCCATGATATGATTGTGGTATTTTTAGACGATTGTCTAAATTTTGGAATTTTCAGATGATTGGATTTTTTTTCTTTTGCATTTCTAAAATAGTAAATCAAAATTTGCATCCAATACAATAACTACAACTACATCTAACCATCAATCGCCTTGGTTTAAACTATCATAAAATTGACGTTCTTGCGAGAAGAATTGGTCCCAACCATGGACACTAGGATCATGATAAATAGGCCAAAGCCCATAATCGAAGGCAATGGCACATGACCAGGTCGAAAGTTAAGACGCACCCAATGACATCCCGTAAAATGTAGTGATAAGATCCCACGTGGTCTTGTTACTCCTGGTGGGGTAATCACAGGTAGCACGGTATAACCGCCGCCTTGACTATAGACAGAATTGCCCATGAAAGCAATGTGGCAAAGACGAAAAGCTCCACATTATCCATCCAGTGGGTAACGCCACAACCATGATCTGGAGTCCACCTGCAACGCCGAATGCCATTATCTATTCTGTTAGAGAAAGAAATAAAATTATGGCTCAATGTAATCATGGTTCTTCTTATAAACCTACAAACAAAGAAAGAAAATTAGGATACTCGATTAAGTAAAACTTCTAAAGAAGACATAAATGAAAATTTATTAAGAGACTAACCGTGTCGATTGCACCGGTTGATGATTGAAGCCACTTCTTGAAGAAGCCATGAGCAAATTCAACCCAATTTGAGTTTGTATTACCCAAATGTCTCACTTGGTTTGTATAACATGTTGCGCACATGTGCCTGTTTGGTAACCACTCAGCTGACAAGTACCTCCAAAGTCGTGGATACTGTACTCCCCAACTACGCCTGAAACTGTCTAAAGCTCTGTTCATGCCTTCCTCTCTGTCGGCATATACAATCCTTTTCCAAGACGCCATGATCAGATCCACTGTCGATTTGGCTGCATCTATCCCACAATGAGACGTCCTATCTACATGCCAAAGGCATAATATATGAGTCGATGATGGAAACATTACCCCCACGGTCTCAACCAATCCTCCTGATTTGTCACTGACAAATACATCTGGAGTGATAGAGCCAAGCAAATGTTGCAGATGATTGAGAAGCCACTAGTACAACTCTTTTGTCTCGTCTTACACTAGCGCAGATGCAATGAGAAAGTTCAATCCCACCGGTGTCATGCCAACAATCTCAACCCATGACAACTCATACTTGTTGGTATTGTATGTTGCATCTATCACGATGACATGGTGCCAAGCTCGCAACATCAATAATGACTCAGGGTGGGCTAGGAACAAGTGTGTAAGCACGTTACGGTCATCCATATACTGCATATAGTAATCCTTCTCCCGAGCATCTTGAAAAGTGTACTGTAAGGTCGTCCTATGACCAAGCTCTTCTTTTCTTATCTTATAAAATGCGTTATAAACTATCTTCTATTCACCTTTTCATGCTCCTCTTTTCTCTAGTTCACTGCCTTGTGGATATTCCTTGGGGCGACACCGGGTAATCTCAGTTTTCTGATGTATTGCTTATTATCTTCGGTCAAAACATTTCTCTTACTTGATCCGTTCGAAAATAGCTCCAACAGATGATTGTGAAAACACCAAATTAGCACCAGGATTCTTTGTATTTGCCACTGCTAGTATCAACCAATATCCATCATCTGACCGCTCAATCTTGATATGAAATTCACACCCCAACTTTCCAGAAGAAGTAAGAGGCCTCCTTTCCTTAGCCGGATCAGAATCAGGAGCTAGCCTTCAGGTTTTTCTTCCTAAAATGAGTGCCCTTCAAGTATCATCGCCTACTATCTTTACTTGGATTTTTTTTATTTGATGCTTTCACCAAATAAAACCCCAAACCCTTGGCAATCTCAGTAGCTGCTGCATATGAAATTAAATCTGTATCGTATTTTACTCCATTGACGAATTCAGAGGTGTAATCTTTGTCATCCCCTCCGTAATCATCAATATCCTACAATGTTAGATCTCATAATATAAGTAATACTCCACAATAATAGAAGATCTAACAAGTACATTTAATTTAACAATTATCACAAATAATTTAGCATTCTCTATATTCTCCTAAGAAACATCCAACATTTAACATGGCAAAATTTAGCATTCTCTATTATTTGCATACTATACATCTAATGTAAGAATCATATTCTACATTGTACATAACTACATTTTTCTACGATAAAGAATTTTCAAATTCATAACTACATCTAATGTAAGAATGGTATTCTACATTTTTCTATTCTTTATTTGCGCATTATACATCTAATCTTAATTTTGTATACAAAAGCATTCAATTTCACAAATAATTATGCTCATAAATCTAAAGAAATAATATAAACTAATCAACAAACTATCTTATGGACCAAACTATAAATCTTAACAAAAGAATAGAAATATTTTATATAAACTAAAAAAAAAACCCAAAATCCATCAACAGAAACCAATTTTCAGTTCCACCATGGCTTAACCGAAGACAATTTTCGGTTCTATCGGGGATCAACAGAAACCAAATTTAGTTTCTACCATGGCCCAAACAAAACAGAATTTCGGTTTATCCATGGCATAACCGAATGTGATTTTCGGTTGGTCCATGGTTCAACCGAATCTGATTTTCAGTTGAACCATGGACCAACAGAAAATTACCTTCGGCTGAGGTCTTTTAGTTTTTTTTTTATAAAAAAATCAAAATTTTTACCTCGTCGGAGTCGCTACTCATTGTTCAGACATATTCTCGACGATTACGGCTTCCAAATTTCGATGATGAATTCGAGAGTGTGGGAGAATGAGTGTTTTTTACTTTCTAAGTGAAGGTGGTGTTTGTTTGCTAAAGGAAAGGTAAAGATGCTAAAAGGTTAAACGTGTAGCGTTGTTGTTTTTTAGGACGATCATTAATAATTTTTAGGATGACTTTTATCAACTCCCATCGGTTAAAGCTAACTACTTTGTTTATCTTTTAGCGACCACTACATTAGGTCACAAAACCAATCTTTTATCTTAGGACCACACTTATTATTTTAGTGACAAAATATAATGCTAAAACTCATCATCACGACCAATTAATCATCTTTCAATTTCCAAAAATATAGATTATACATATCTTATCACAACCAATATCTTATGGCAATAATATGTCACCTTGGCGAAGGAGTGAGAGGATGGGGGCGAGGTTTTTCTTTTCGATAATTAGAAGAAAATATTGACTAATTTTTTTTAATCAAACCCAATTCATCATCGGCCTGTAACCAAAAATATTTTAAGTGACGTAAAATATCGATGTGCTATACGTTCCTATATAGAGGGAGTGGATGAGGTGCATAACCTTGTGGTCAATAACCTATACATAAATCAATCAGAATATAGGGCATTATATATGATTCTTCCCGTGGAAACACTGGATTGACATTGATAAAACAAAGTAAGACATGCATATCTTACTATTGTTCCATAATAATATAATAATAATATTATTCATGATATCGCGGATATAAAGGCTACATCGGTAAACTTTAGTTTCTTATTAGACCTACGAATCGTCGATGAATGACGAGACATTAAGGTCAAACTTACTGAGAATATTTTGAGCATTGTTGTGGTTGATCGATATGCAAATATAAAGGTAGGTAGGGTTCTTAATTAATAATTTTTTCCTAGGCAGAGCTTGTTTCCAGGCTGCAGTTTGGCGCAGCTGACATAAGGGTTCAAGCTCTCGAGTTCCTCAACGCTCATGTTGTGGGCTGTGGCTATCTTATAGCAATCTTCGCCGTCTTCTACTACGTAGAGGTCAGTACTGCACTTCGTCTTGGTAGCGGCACCTGCTCAATATTTATTCCACACATCACCAAAGAAGAAATATATTGTTCCAGAGGCCACTATTGGGGAAAAGTACATGCACAGTTAAGAGACATGCATGCATATATCTATGCATAAACAAAAAAAACTTACTGCTGGTGATTAGAAGGCAGACCAGCAAAGCGAGCATCACGAACTTGAGGTTAGCCTTGCCCATCGTCATATATTTATGCTTCTCCGGACGGAAGAATGTCTGAACTAATTCAGTCTTTTCTTCTTTACATATGTTCGTCTATCTTTGTTAAATTGAGTGATGATCATGAAAATATCATCTCCTATTTATACCACTGGAGCCGAAGAAACTACAAAAACTAGCAATTTGAGTCCAACCATTTTGGTATTGCATTTTTATTATTAATTATTTCAATAAAACAATACCAAGTATTATTATTGTTATTTGCGGTTGCGTAGAAGTAGACGGTGGAAAATAACATTCTTCACGGCAATAACGACATTATATGGATAGCGAACAAGACACTTGACTTTTTGGGCTTCTTTAATTTTAGCAATTTTTTATGGCCGGAATCTTTAGCGGCCGTCAATGCGCAGGATGAACGTAACTAACATTGTAGGTATCGCTGGGGGAGGAGTTTGTGCATGTATGAAATTCTAAGTCTTGCAATTAACCATCCAACTCATCTGATTTTGTTGAGGACCGGCCGCTTTTGGTTCCTTGCCTTCACTATTTTGCTCCTTTCGGCACAAAAGCACATTGTTTTTTTCATCCTTCTATGTAAATGAGTACATGTAATTTCTTATTAATATAAATGATGATTAGAGAGTACACTAAAACATGGACTATCCCGAGCTTAGCTTGCATCTAATAATACTTATTATGGATGTGTATATAAGAATGAGGATAAAATCCTATCTATCCTAGCAAAGGATCGACGATCATATACATTAGGTGTACATGGCTCAAGATAGGGTGAGTAATTTGAGGAATTAGGGTGCTTAATATTATTAATCAAATCTGGACTCTTCTTTTTTAGTGGGTTGTAGATTTAAGGGTTGATAATTAAAATCATTTTATTTCTCCTACTTTTTTTAATCGGATCATATCTTTTTTGTTCTAATTCGGATTTCAAATTCGGATATCAATTTTCAATAATTTTTGAGAAATTTTTTTCTTACCTCTCGTTACCAACTCCATACCATATGGTATCTCTTTCGTTTTTAAGCCATTTTTTAAAATATCATAATATACCACTCTGGTATATGAGGATAGTATCTTATGGTACACAAGTTTGAAAGTCGCAAATGACGGTTAGTATATTTCTATTATCACGTATTCAACTATCTTACAGTATGGTATGTTCATATCACCATGGTACGCTTTCATACCATATGGTATGGTTTTATTTAATACTACCATATGGTGTAGACTGATAAAAATGTCTCAATTTTTTTTTATTTTAAAAATATATCAAAGTGAATATCATTTTGAAAATCAGAATTAATTTGATTTAACTGTGCAAAAAAAATTAAATTTCAACTGAAAACGAGAGAGAAATCGTCCGTTAAAATTAAAGGGTAAAAATTAAAGTATTTCCATGAGAAAGAAAGGGTGCTTATGTGGCGGATTCTGATTGGGTTACTCATAATTACTCACCACAAGGTTACTAATGAGATCCGCTCCCGTGTACCTGCCTCGCACTCTGTTGCGGGGATTTAGTGTGTTTCCATTTTTGTTACGAAACATTCTCAAGAAACACTAAACAAATTGTGACAAAGTTTTATCTCTTACACCATGACGGTAAATCTGTAATTAGATTTATTTACTTTTTATATACGCGTTAGAGGCGATGTTATTTTTTTTTAATCTTTTCATGATCAGACCGGATACTGAAATAGAAAAGTTAGTAGTTGATGTTTTAACGATTAGCCGTTATGGCATAAAAAGAATATATAATACACTAATTTAGAAGTGTAATTATCACTAGCCATAAATAAATACATATTCATATCATATATTACCAAAATGTTCTAAGAAATTATTATAACTATCTCACAAAAACAATCCATTCTTTATTTATTAAATTCAAGTTAGTAATCAGAGTGACAAGGCATAGTCGATGACATAAAGCTCACATGGATGCTAGGAAAATGAAGCATCAATGAAATAAGTAATTTGGATTGGATGTTCTTTGTCTACGTACAAAAATTTAATATTTTTATGATTAAATTTTTGAAACAGTAGTCAGTCAAATTGTGGAAGCTCATATGGTTTCATGGCAAACAATCATAAACCATTTGGGTTCGTGGCTAACTATACAATCAAATAAGCGAGCTACTATATTGCCTATGTTTGGCCCGGCTTTTAGAAGTGCTTTTCGGCTTCAAAAGCAGAAGTATGGCCAAACACCTCTAAAAGTTTGGCTTTTGAAAAACCGAAAAGCAGAAGCTCCGATTTGAAGTTTCTGCGAAAAGTTGTTTTGAAAATACAAGATTATTCTTACCATATTTTAATTTTATTTAAGAAAATATAATTTTCTTTCATTTATATCATTTTAAAAATAAAATAAAGTATAAAATCATATTATTTAATATAAAAGAAGTCTAACAAGATCCATTGTAATTGATTTAGTAGTTTTATTGGCCAAACCATTAATCAGATTTGGTTCTTATAACAATGCTTTTGTCCCATTAAAAAGTAATAAAGTAGGGTAGAGGACGTGGAGGAGAAAAGGAAGGGGATATTGTGTATAGTCAATAGTGAAAAAAATGGATAATGAAAAATTAAAAGGTAAATAAAAGACAGGTCTTAAGAATATTGAATAAGATTCCACCAAAAATCCTAGTGGTCATGATTGGTGTTAAGTATGTGGAATGAGATTGGTTAGGGGTTAGCACCATACTAACTTGTATAAACTAACCTACCAATCCCTCCCACTCACCGCCGACTCTCCTCACTCCCCTCTTTCTACACAAACCGTCACCTCTCTCCCCTCTCCCTACTCAAACTGTCTCTGCATCCAGTGTGGCGAAAGCAACATTGACGAGTAGGGGTGGGCATTGGTGCGGTCCAAACCGCTCCGCCCGCTCCAAATCGCTTGTGCGGTCAGCCCAAACCGCACCGTTAAGATTGCGGTTTCCTTTGCGTTTTAATTATTAAGCGGTTCGTTGTTTTGCGGTACGAGCCGACCGAAACCGCGCGGTTGCGGTTCAAAACCGCAAACGGCTAAATCCCCTCAAATCACTGACTCTTCTCTCCTCGACTCCCTCTGCGCCGAAAACAGGGGACCCCCCGGAGTCCCCAGCGTCGCCGGCGCCAACGCCGCCGGCGCCCCTCCTTCCAATTCCGGCATCCTTCTTCCCTCCTCCGACCTCTTTTTTTTTCTTTTTTCTTTTTTGATACTTGAAACTAAATAATTTTTTTTGGGTTTTTTTGGGATTGGTGGGTACTAAGATGAACCGAGATTACATAATTTGAAGGTTTTTATGATGGTCTCTCTACGGAGTGATAATCTCGACCTTTGCCACGATCCAAACGATGGCTACAACTAGAATCGATGCATAAACATAAAACAAAGAAACTTTTTTTGGGGTTTTTTTTTTTGTGGGTTTAGTGAATTGTAGAGGAAAAAGTGAAGCTTACATACTTGGAAGGGTTTTTATAGAAGTTGAGCTGAGGCAGAGGAAGGACGGGAGCCAGAGTGGAACACAAAATTAGATCAATGGACTGAAATTGATGGATGATGAGGGAGAGAAGAGAACAGGATTCGCATCTATCTCACAGAGCTGAAGAGACGGAAACAGGAGAGAAAGAAAGAACAAGTTGCAGGCTGTGGATTCGAATGCAGGTGGGTTGTGTTAGGAAATTCTATTTCCTATATTGATATGGGCCACATATTTTACAATTATATGAGCTATTTGATTAAGAGGGCTAATTGTAAGTGATCCATATTAGGGGCCCAAAGATATCTTGTATGTGATATGGGTCGAAATGGGTGGAAACCCAATACTTACACTAATGAGTTTTATGGGAGCCCATGGTGGTGAGTATATAAGGAACCTTGAGGTTGTGGTCCCCAATACACCAAGACGAAACACTCTCTTCTTCTCCCCATCAGGAAGATCAGAGGATTCCCGTGAGTGGTCTAAGGAGGCTTGGTTGAGGAAGATCACAAAACCTCCCGGATCGTGCTCCAAGAAGTATCGTCCGGCTGTAGATCGTCTTCCAGATTCCGCATCAAGCTCTTGGCGATCAACAACACAGTTCCAGGTATTTCTACAAACCTTTGATAATCTAACAATATGATATCCGGGGAATTGCTTATGCAAATTCTGTTATATTTCTAACAAGTGGTATCAGAGCTTATCATATTTGTTTGATTATTGGGGTTTCGCATCTTGGTTCTATGGTTCCTCCTTGGAATTCTTTTTGGTATGCTCAATGCATGATTACAGTCTCGTTCTACTTTCTTATGCTTCGGTTTCGTGCATGAATCCAGAAAAATTAGTTAATTGTTTTAGTCTATACTGCATGCTATTGCTACTATTTAGCTCTTCCCAAAATGCAGTGCTAGATTCCATGAATGCAATTGTTGTTGTTCATTTTTTTTTCCTGCGACTGGGAGAAGCTGTTTCTGAAATCCGGCCAATTTTTTTTTACTCCGATTGTCTTGATCGGAGACTTCCAAACGTTTTCCGGTTGTTATTATTATTATTATTTTCTTACGTTTGGAATTGTTTGGTTTTACTCTTCGGTTGCGGTTATGGGGAATTAAGTGGGGGTTAATTTATTATTCCCTATCGTTAAAATACGATCAATGGCCAGTTATGGGACAGTTTGCATTATTATTTCCCACAGTAAGTGGGATTAATTTAGTGTTTATTTCAGTGACGGAGCTTTGGATATATACATTAGTGGAGTTTAATAGATCCATAGCTACATGTTTGTTCAACTTACGGAAACAATTAAAGGGAATGCTCTATATATTATTATATATTTATAATCTCTCGGTGAAAAGAGACATTTTTCCGCCAATTGATATTATTATAATAATTGAATCTTTCCATAATGTTTTATTGTTTTCGGTTACAGAAGCTTGCTTCCTGGTTTCTTTTATTAGATAATAATGTTGATGATTATTACTTTTAGTAAACCTTTTTCTTACGGTAAAGTTGGAAATTATCATATTGATAATTTTAGTGCCGGTTACGGAAATTGATGGTTTAATATAATAATAAATTAACTTCCGTAAAGCTCAGGAACCGATAAGTGATGAAAGCTTTTCGTTGGGTTAATCAGGTTTTGTTGCATTGGCAATGTATGTTCATAGTGTAATTATTTTATCCTTCGGTTACAGAATTTTGTGGGTTAAGACTATTCTTAAAGCTTAATGGTGCCACTGAACCGATTTAGGGAGATGGGAGCCAAATTAATTTATGTAATAATAATTATTATTTCGGTTAAGGGATATTAGTTTGGTTTTCTTACTTGAGCCGGTTATACTCCATGTGTAGAAACCACTTTGGGAATTGCGGATACTAATGGTGCCTTTACAGTTTTATTTATTTTTCCCCCCTGCTTGCCCATTCGGTTACGGAATTGTGTTTCTGCGGGGAGAGTTTTAATAATAATAATAATTTAATTATTATTTGTTCAATCCTTTGGCACCGGGTATCCATAAAGGTTAATAATAATAGTTTCGGGATGATCTTAATGTTTGATTTGATAATTCCAATAACATCACTATTTCGGCTTTAATTTGGTGTGATAATATATTATATATATTTGTTTGAAGCATACAAGCCTTATATTGTGTTTGGTTATTTATGCGAATAATGTTCAGCTCAAAGGTAGATATTATATGGCCAAATAACAATACACATCAACGATAAATATGTGATGACTGTCAAGATAGTTTTCCATGTGAATAATAGTTAGTTCAAAGACAAACTATTATTTGACAGGACTTGTCGTCAGTATTTTATCTTGCTTGATGGTCGTTGGACCATTAAAAATGCACTTTAAGGTAACTTTGTACATTTCATAGCTTGTAATTTGTTTGGTAAACAAGACTAGTTTATGAGGAATATAAGCCTCATTTCAGTAAACCAAATTTTGGGGTCGTTTGACAATTTTTATAAATCCCTATATGGTAAAGGTTTACATTTTAGCGCGTGCAAATTATGTATTCATTGGCCCAAAGGTAGGTGAATATTTAAGGTTCCATATGTGCGCATAGAGTAATAAATATGTGATGATTATTCGGTTAACATGTGAATCTTAAATCGGCCCAAGGTGGATTTACTATTTCATATGTTCTTATCATCAATATTTAATTACTCGATCATAAGACATTACTTACAAGTTAATTTAATGGAGTGCATTGTGTCTTGAGATGGAGTAAACCGTTATTTAAAATTATTATTGTAATTCTCTCTTAAGGATAATTAGTCACTTATTTGGAATTTTGTGATTATGAGAGAATTGTCCGGTATTTTAATTAAATCAATTTTAGCAGTATGTTGCCAAAGTAACCTTTACTTGCGAAAAATTATTTAACCTAGAATACGTGGATGTACGTGTAAGGTTACTTATGTGGGTAGTGATCGACCCAAAGGACGACACTAACTGACCGAGTAATCAAACACCTTAATGATAAATACGTGATAATTATAAAGTTAATGTTCATGTGAATAACAGTCGGTCCAAAGATAAACTGTTGTTTGACGGAACTTATTATCAGTATTTGATCATTGTATTAAGAGTACCGCTCGCAGTTAATTTCTCTGTCCAAAGACTAAGAATTAATGCTGCATTTGGTATCTTATGATGGGTTACCCAAAAAAAAATTGGATAAAGTTCTTGTCTTGTTTAATTACATGGCTTGATGTGTGTTTTCTTTTATCTCATTATAGTTTTTCGTGCTTTGATTTAAATATTTTTGTCGAAATTAAAGTTAACTCTTCTGTTAAATGGGATGAATCTAAAGAATTTAAAGTAAATTCAAGACAATTATTCTCGATATATAGGCATTGATCTTGCGCTTTTATGTGGAATAATCCCTATTCTACTTCTGAAAATCTCAATGAGATTTAATAATAGCGAATAGAGATATATCCAGTTCAGTGTGCATGATGATCATTAAGCGCTCTATTCGATGAATAATTATGGGGCTATTATACTGAGATGCCTCTGAGGTTTATTGAAGTAATAGTACAATATTTTGCCAAAACATAAAAGGATCCGGGGTAAGTTGCCTATTGGGGTAATTTAATCCATAAAGTGTAAAGGCAAAAATGTACAAGTGTATTATATTTTGGAGGTGTCAAAAGACATACTCAACACTTGGTTTAATTTATCTTCCTCCATGAAGTTTTAGGTGAGTACTAATATTCACAAAAGAAGAGGAGGGAAGATACGAGATGAGACTGAAGACAATCACTAAACCTCAAATTCTCAGTAAAGGAACAAATAGAGAGTTAAGGATGTTATGGTTTCGTTGAACTCTTAAAGACATGGTGATGAGTATTTCTACTTACTAGACTCCATTTGGATAAAAGCCATAAAGGTTATAACGTACATCCTTAAATTGAGTATCCAGAAAGTAGTTAATGTAACCAATAAGTGCAATAAGGACCTTGCACATTTAGGGTTGTCCAACTTAGGAAATACCTTGTAAGGTACAAGAAGGTATAATGGACAAAAGAATTAACTTATACTTTGCTGACTACTCAATAGTACTCTCGAGGCTACAAGTTTTATAATCCCACATCAAGAAGTTTTTAATTGAGAAATGTGAGATTTCTTGAGTATTTTGAGTTTTGCGGGGAAGGAAACATAAGGAATATTGTTACCACACAAACTCAACACACTCAAGAAGTGCCATTAAGTATATCCACAAAGTAGAAGATGGACGATTCTAGCTAAAAATATCGTTGTTCTTCAAAGAATATATACATGACATTAGGTTGACTAATGATCCAATTTTTAGTCAAGTCATGAACAGTTATGAAAAGTGGATTGATGCCATGTGGTGAAGTCAAGAGAGATATAAGGCATGTTGGTCTCTAATGCTTTACTAATAAGGAAAGTGTTGGCTCAAAGAGACTTTCTCTCTGGTATATTTGAAAGACTCTTTAAGGAATATAATGGCAGTGGTGGCTCATATAAGTATCTCATTATTGATATCACAATGATTCTCATGTTATTAGCTCATTTAGATTTAGAGACTAATGTTCGAGATTATTGTGTATATCTTAAGTTTAGTGGGAGTAAATTCATTTTCCTGTTTTATACATCATGGTTGTTCTACTTAAGGTGCAAGTAGAATAAGTTAGTAAACCAGGAGATGTGTTGTAGCTAAGGGAGACAGTTTTGGTCTCAATCAATGCCCCGATTATATAAGAAACTAAGATACAAAATCTCTTGAATGCATATTTGCATTAACGATCTAATGTATACTTTAGTTTATTCTCATCCCAATAAAGCATTTCTAGTAAGAGTCTTTGGCAGATATTTGATTGGTCTATGCATGAAACACTAGAAGGATTCAAACGTGTAACGCGTTTACTAAAGTTGATAAAAGAATTCATGCAAATTTGTTAGAGATCAGATAATTTAGAGATCATCAAGTACTCTGACTCTGATGTTACAGGATGTCAAGGTAGCATAAACTCTACATCAGGTTACCCTTCAGTGTTGGGTAGAGTTCAAAGCATATATTGAGACTTCCAATTACGGTTGCAAAATTTTTGTCACTAGAATGACTTTCGAAAGTCATTAAAGGTCAACCGGACAATAATTTGATAGTGATACACTATCATTACCACGGATTTCAGAAGTCAAATATATTGACATCAAGCTCCCGGTGGTTAAAGATAAAGTTCAAAATAGACAAGTTTATATTGAACATTAAGGAAATGACTAATGCTAACTTATCCATTAGCCAATAGTTTGACACATAAAGTTTTTCCATGAGCATATTGCTCTCATGAGTGTTATTCTGGATGGTACCTTGGTTTAGTGGGAGTCATTTAAGTAGTTCAATAGATTATGACTAAATCAATTCTGCAGAATAAAAGTGATGGTTTTCTAGAGTCTATTTTGGAATTTAAAGTCTCTTCAGTAATACAGTGGTCACATTGTATGAAGGAATTTTAGTTGATCTCACTAAGGACTAAAGTTGGACTAGTTGAAAATAGGCATGTTAAAGATCACATTGCATGTAATTTTCATGCCACTCATCCATATTTGATCTATGTCATTGAGTGTATTGGTGTGGTGATCATGGTGGTTTAGTCATTAACATATCGTGACTAAAGCTGCGTTGGTTCCATGGTTAATACATGATGTGGACCAGATTGTTTTAGGAGATGTCTAAGCACAAATAGCATACGGTTGCGCGCCTAAAGAATTTTGTAATATAATTGTTTCAAAGAAAATATGCAGCCCAAGTGGGAGATTGTTAGGAAATTCTATTTCCTATATTGATATGGGCCACATATTTTACAATTATATGAGCTATTTGATTAAGAGGGCTAATTGTAAGTGATCCATATTAGGGGCCCAAAGATATCTTGTATGTGATATGGGTCGAAATGGGTGGAAACCCAATACTTACACTAATGAGTTTTATGGGAGCCCATGGTGGTGAGTATATAAGGAACCTTGAGGTTGTGGTCCCCAATACACCAAGACGAAACACTCTCTTCTTCTCCCCATCAGGAAGATCAGAGGATTCCCGTGAGTGGTCTAAGGAGGCTTGGTTGAGGAAGATCACAAAACCTCCCGGATCGTGCTCCAAGAAGTATCGTCCGGCTGTAGATCGTCTTCCAGATTCCGCATCAAGCTCTTGGCGATCAACAACACAGTTCCAGGTATTTCTACAAACCTTTGATAATCTAACAATATGATATCCGGGGAATTGCTTATGCAAATTCTGTTATATTTCTAACAGGTTGTACCAATTGTGGAATGCGTTTACAGGGGAGAAATGATGCAGAGGTTTTTCAGGGCAGGGGCAGGGAAGGAAGGTTGCAGAGGAGAGGGGAAATTGAGGTATTAGAAAAACGCAAATCGATATAGGGATGTTGTGTTTTTGCGGTTTTATTTGCGGTTGCGGTTCAAACCGCACCAAGTCGCTAACTAATGCGAATCGGTTGGACCGTACCAATTAACTTGCGGTTTTATTTGCGGTGCGTTCCAATTACTTTGCGGTGCGATGCGGTTTTTATCAACACTTTGCGGTGCGGTGCGGGTCGCACCAATGCTGCCCACCCCTATTGACGAGGCATGGAGGTATGCGGCGCGGGAGAGGAAGCCTAGCCGGAGATGGCGAAGAAGGAGGCAGGCAACGGCGATGGCGATGGAAGCAGGCGCGGTGATGCTCGGAGTAAGTTTTGTCGATGGCGCGCCGCAACAGTCTCTTTCTCCTTCGTCTGCACTGGCGGCGGCGTAGAGAACAGTTCATTCCAGATCTGGCAGCAGCGATGAGAGGAGAAGTTTTGTGTGCGGCGAGGGACAGCTTGCTCGGTGGGGTGATGTTTGCTTCGACGGTGGGCAACGACGTTGTGGCTTGTGTGCAAGCTTGGTGGGATCTACGGGCCAAGAATGAAAGAAACTTTCATTTTTAACATTTGTAGTAATTTGTAGGTAGTAATTATGTGTTAGTGATTCTTACGCATTGATTTTTATCAAATTTTAATAGTGCTTTGCATAATTATAGTAGCTTTTTCGTTGGTAGTACTTTTTACAAGCAATTGTTACAAATTAGAATATGTTAAATCACTACTAGTTACATGAAAATCACTACCGACAATTGTAAAAAGTAAAAACACTACTTTTAGCTTCCAAAAGCATCCCTCACTGTTGATTAAAAAATCTTAAATCACTACTACTAACAATAAAATCACTAATATAGGCCAAAATCACTACTAATTGAAGCAGTAATGAATTTAGTAAAAACAATCTGGCTGAAAGTCGCTAAAAAAAATGGGAGAGAGGAAAGATAATTTATAATTTAATTAATTAATTTTTTTGAAATACCAAATAAGTCATTTACCGTTAGATTCAACTTAAAATAATGAATGGTGATTAGAGTAGTTAGTATAGTGCTAACTCTTATAAAGTTAGCACTCTAACTTCTCCCAAAGTATGTAAAGAAAATCTGGAATTTTAAAATTTAGCTACTTAATTTGATATGGTTTCTTGCAGCAAATAGGTCGAAGCAGTCACCATCCTACAGGGAAACAACGATATGGATAATTGTGTTTTGGTTCCAAAATTTATCCGAGAAGTTAGAAGGGATAGAAACCAACGTTGTCAACCGGTGTAGCCAGTTGATCCGGTTGAGCAAGTAGGTTGAGTATTAATCGTCCAATCGTTTTAGTTCGATTTAACTTAGATATATGAAAAGGTCATATATTTTTCATAAATTTATAAATTATGTCAAATAATCTAGTAATAGAATACAACATTACACCAAAATAACAAGTCGTGCTTGAATCCAACATATATTGAATTTTCAATTTTTCACACATTTATATAACATCAATATTCAAATGTTCAACTTAGAATTTCAAATAATGAATTAGGCGAAAAGAAAAATAAAAAATAGTCACACTTCACAAACCAAAGAAAACAAAGAACACAATTTGACCTTCAACCCAATATCATGTAGTGGTTGACCTGACGGATATGTTTTTCTCTAATTTTAGCAATTTTGTTTTCTTTTGGGTTGGGCTTTCTTTAATTTTAGCAATTTTGTTTTCTTTTGAGTTGGGCGGGATCTTTAGCGGCCGCGCAGAATGAACATTGAAGGTATCGCAGGGGAGGAGTTTTTAAATGTCTAAAATTCTAAAGTGTTGCAACCAATCTGTTGGACCAATCTCCTTCTATATAAATGAACAAATGTAATTTCTTATTAATATAAATGATAATTAGAGTGTACACTAAAACAAGAATTATCACCGGAGCTTAGCTTGCATCTAATAATACTTATTTGGAAATATCATACATGAAAACTAATATTATAAACCATCCCCAGGGAAACTCCGAATACAGGCCGTCATCGTTTGTACAGACAGACTTTTGGGGAATGAAGTGAGTCAACCTCTTTTTGGCTTCGGCCAAACATTTTTTCTCGCTGGATTGGAGGTTGTATTCTCAGGGATCATACGGGTAACGTGGTATATGCTTTACTTCTTTAGTTTTCTCAGAAAAAAAAGGGGAGCTATTTGGCTTGATCAGAGGTGTAGGTCTCATTCATTGGCTTAGATAATTCACTCATCCCCAAATCTAATAATACTTACTAGCCCGAAAGCTCGCATTGTGCGGCATGCCATAAATTAGTAATTTGGCATTATTAATAGATAGTGAAGGTCACGAGAAATGATATTACCGATTTAAAGCATAATAGTTATAAACACCGTTTATTATATTTTTTTCGTTGAATAACACCATATATATTTAAAAATATAAATATATTTTTATGAGTTAGGTGCTTTCCATTTCATCAAAAGAAAAGGGGTGCCGGGAACAACCTTCCCAGCTAGGTTCACCCATTCAACTAGGCGTACATCACAAAACCTCAAAGAAAACCAAAACTGTTACCTATTTCACCTCGAATAAAGCTAGCTAATCAGCAGGAATTGTCATCACCTGAGATCCAGAATTTTGCAGCTTCTTCCTCCTGCGACAACACCAATACTTCACTTCGGATTACCTTCCTCAAACCCTCAAAACTTCGACTCTTCCCTTCATACTGTCTAATACAACTTTCTCTCCATATATACCTCATCAAAGAATGCCAAATAATTCTTCTATTCCCTGCATCCTTCCCTTTCTTTCCAAATGCATCAGTGGCCCATTGCAGACCATCATCCCAGTCTCGCGGCATAAATGTAGAAAACCCCCCCGCCCCAACAGATCATGAAACAGTTTACTGAAATACTCACACTGAGAAAACAAGTGTTCTATGCTTTCAGGCATCTGATTGCAGAGACAACACAAATCTGAACCAGCAAATCCCCAGTTCTTCATTTTGTCCTTAGTATGGATTCTATCCTTTATGATAAGCCAAACCAAGAATCGGTTTCTAGGGATAGAAGGAGGCATCCAGACCAAGCTAGCCTAGGAAACTAAACTTTGCTTAGGTCTTAATGACTCCCAAACCATTTTAACAGAAAACCTTGGCATTATAGAATCATTCCAATAAACTTTGCCATCTATCAAACTGAAAAGGTGAGGAAGTTTACCTCGTAGCTTTAACAACCTCTTCCAATTCCAAGAACCATCTACATTGATCTCCCAGAAACTCCTCCCTTTCAGCTTGTAAGTAATTATCCAGGCCACCCATAGTGAACCTTGCTATAGCATAATTGCCCAAATTTGACGACAAACACAGGCATTATTCCAGGAAAACATATCCCTCAAGCCTAATCCTCTCTCCTTCTTGGGATAAGTCAGGTATTTCCATGCAATCTTCGCTTTAAGTCTCTGCCCTTCACCCACAGCCTATAAAAAATTACTACAAATCCTTTCTATCTCTCTAAGAAATTGTTTAGGAAGAGAAAAAACACTAATCCAATATTGAGTAATACTATACAACACTGAACTCACCAACTCAACCTTTCCTGCATAAGTCAGAGACTTTGCTTTCCACCCTGCTATTCGAGCTGTAAGCTTACCAATCAATGGTTTACAGGCCGCCACTGTCAACTTTCCTGAGATCAATAGTACTCCCAAATAACGTACAGGGAAGTTGCCCAGCTGATACCCAAATCTCTAAGCTCTAACAAACATTTCATCCTTATCTATCCCACCAAAATAAACCTCGCATTTACTTGGATTAGACTTCAGACCTGATAACCTATAAAACTCTGCTAGCACATTTTGCACACTCTGCAGTCCACAATTGGAGCCTCTCACATAGAAATGTTTTTTTAAAAGGGGAGAGAGTATAGAGAAATTGACTTTGTTTTACTTTTCTGGTGCGACTAAATGGAAAGCGGACTAAGTTTTAACATGATGCACACCCGACCTAGCCCGTCAATCACAAAAGTGAGTATATCTCACCCCAACAAAAAAACTCATCAACACCTGGTTCAACCCACTCTAGCTAATTGCCGAATTAGGTTGGACACCACTCCATAAAATGACATTCTTTTTTCTTTTGGTGCAATTCCGTGAAAGTGCGGGCCGAGTTTTAACAAAATACACACTCTACCCAATCCGTCAATCACAAAAGTGTGTAAAACTGAGTCATGATCCAAACTCGTCAATTCTAGGTTTAACCCGCTTGACTATGACTATTGTTTCATTTTTTAGTTGCGGGTCATCGGATGGGATGCAGTCATGTTGTGAAACTTGTGCACGGAAATTGTGTGATGCCCCTATGGGAGAAGATTCATTTTCCCATGTGAACAACGATTTGTCGGCAACCTAATTAATATTTGTTGCCAACTATTTTTTTAATTTTCAATTTTCAAAATCCATATCTATAAAATTATGCATTCATAATTTCAGTTTGCACTCCCAACAAACTAAAAAAACCATCGTCTGAAATGTAGAAGCTCTTGCCGCCAACAAGACTTTTTCGTCGCAAAAAAACATTTGAGCACCCCAACTAGACGACAATATTTAGCGTCAGCAAATGTAATCAAAATCAAAATTTTAAATAAATTGGAAAATAACCATTAACTGAATCAGAATCGTTGATTAAAATCGTTAATATTTTCCATATGTAGTGATTACATGTAGGTACATATGGCGGATGGCTAACTACAAAATAGTATAGTAAGTTTGATATTTCAACAGCTTCTCCCCTGCAGGGGCGGAGCTAGGTGGAGCCTCGGGGGGGCCCCGGCCCCCCCGAGAATTTTGAAATTACGTACAAAATCTCTTTGGATTGTGAAAAATTACGTATAAAATAGATGTTAGAATATTAATTGTGTGCGTAATAATGTGACAAGAAACTAAGGGCAGACGAGTGGTAGAAGTGTTGATCTTTCAAATTGGGTGCATGGCTTCGAATCTTGCATATAGCAAATTAGTGCCCATTTTTCGCCATTTTCAAGTTGTGAGCATTCTC